TCAAAATGAAGTGCATTCAAATTAACATTTCTTCATTGACATCTGAATGTTTACTTTTGATCTAAATAGGTAGGTTAATAATTTTGTTAGATTTTGATTTAAGATGTGGCCCTCTTTATGCTTTGGACACAATAATGTGGCCCCAATGTGCCAGAAGGTTGGGGACCTTTGCTGTAGGGTAAATAGGAGGCTATGGGGAGAATCTAAGATCTGTGAAGGGTTTTGCCTACTAGACTTTGGAACTGATCTGAGCTGGGAGCCCCTGCAGCAGTTAACAGTTTGGGGAAAAAAATAGGAGATCCTTGATAAAAGTGCTACCTTACTTAGGTTTGCTCTAAGGTTTGAATGTTGGCTTGGTTCAAGTTAGATCAAGCTTGAAATGCATCCGGTGAAGGGAGCTTTGGGTCCCAAAAACTAATCCCCTGGAAATCTTTTTTTTTTTTAAATAATACGCTTTTATTTAGAATATCATACCCTGGAAATCTTGTTGTCCAATAGACTAGACTCTTGCTCTTAATATGCGTAGTTACCATAAAGTCATGCTTCTTGCAGCTGGTCAGGGTAACCCCCACCTTTACCAGCCTGTTACATTTGTATTTAACAGGAGATTTAAAAAAAATTAAATTCAGGGAGAAAATAATGCACGTTCTTGAAGAAAAGGGATGGCTTCGAATTGTGAAGTGATAAATCTGAAGTTGCTTAGCTGCTTCCAAAAGTCACGCTGTCTCTTCTGTCTTTAATTATCGCTAGCTTTAGGAAATTAGGTAAGAATGTCTGTTGTGACACTACTGCAGATTTAAGTCTAGCTAGATGCTGTTGGTATCTCCCTGTGTACTTGCAGCCAGCCAGTGTTGCTGCACAGTCTGTCCCAGTTTCAAATCAAATCCCAAGCCTTTTATTGGCATATAAATAAAGATACAGTAATCTAAATACAAAATCATGCAGAGTAAAATTAAAATGGCAGAGTAACATCACAGAGTAACATCATAATAATACCTAATTCATAATATGGTAATTCAAAATGTGGTATTACACCTCTGTGTTTTGTAAGCCTCCCTGAGCCCGCGGGCGGGGAGGGCGGGGTATAAATGAAATGAAATAAATAAATAAATATCACTTATCAGGCCGTAGGACCATGGCACTGCAGAGAAACTTTGCTACTATTTCAGTATCTGGATTATCGAGCAAGAAAAGGAGTTTAAAATCATCAGCTGTCACAGTTTAATCAGTCAAGTGGCTTCTTTAGAATGGGGCACTAAAAGTGCCCAAAGTAGTGCAAGTACCATTTCATTGTGATCAAGTTGATGCCTCTTAAATATGAGGCATTACTGGTTAATCATAGCTTAGAATCTTTATAACCTGTCTTGTTTACTCCACGCCGTTCATGTGCATCTGTGCAATCTGCCTTCTCTCAAAGCATTTTGAAACTGTTCCTTTACTGCTGGTGCAGCTGTAACTGTCGGTTGTGATCATTATTCCCTTTGCCCTCCCCCAAACATTGACCAACTGTCTGTGTCTTTTGCCTCTAATTTAAAAAATAATAATAATCTGCTAATGGCTGTGATGGTGAGAAGCCCGTGTGAGAAAGGCAGTTCTTGCTTCTTACATTCAAACCAATGTGGTCAGTGGTGTTCACAAGTATAGTGTGATATGCCGGCCATGTAGCAAATGATACTGCTCCTAAGCTGATACTGTTGGTCGTTCACTAGTCAGCAGTTGACTGTTCTTCCCTTTGGTTATAGATACCTGCAAAAAGGGAATTAAAATGCTGAGTACTTTGTTTTAAAGGTCCTTTTATTAGGCCCTGGCTGAACAGCTCAGGAAGTGAATATTTAACTTCTTCCATTTATTGTTACTTTCACCAGTGATCTCCATTCTAACATACACAAGAGACGGTGTATGTTAGTGTCCATTTATATCCCCACAATCACTGCCCCTTAGCTATGTTTTTTAATAAGTCTTGTTGTACATATTAGATTCCATGTCAAAGAGGAAGTCAAATGAGGAGGAAAAACAGTTGGACCAAATAGTCCATCCAAAATTGACTACTTTCTTCTCAGCATATTCTGGAAATATGCTTCAATTAACAGGAAAACAATTAGACCAAATAACTCATCAAAAATTGACAACTTTCTTCTCTTTCTTCTTCATCTTCTTCTTGAACATATTCTGAACATATTCAGGAAATATACGGTATTTTATACATGTACTGACATCACCAAGAAAACAATATTCAAACAGCATAATTGATTACAAAAGACAGTGGTAATTTGAGTAATCATCCTCTTATTGGCCAGATATAAAGAAACATATATCTACGTCAAACGAAGTGTTTACTTAACCTAACCTAAATGATAATGGGCAAGGATTCTTCATACGAGACTAAAATCTTATCTGACCCAGACATTGAATGGTTTGCCCTAAGAACTACAGAATCATGAACTTTGTACCTATTATGTTGTCTGCTAACAATATCAGACCTACAAAAGAAAAGCCTTCTATATAACAGGCCTTTCTAACATCCTAACTTGGGTGTAGTTTGGTGGAGAGCCAGTTTGGTGTAGTGGTTAAGTGCTCTAATATGGGAGAACCGGGTTTGATTCCCCACTCCTCCACTTGCACCTGGTTGGATGACCTTGAGCAAGCCGTAGTTCTGATAAGAGCTGTTCTTGAAAAAGAGCAGTTTCTGTCAAGAACACTCTTAGGCCCACCTACCTCACAGGGTGTCTGTTGTGGGGAGGGGAAGGGAAAAGGAGTTTGTAAGCAGCTCTGAGACTCCGAGTGAAGGGCGGGGTATAAATCCAATGTCCTCCTCCTCCTCTTCCTCTTCTTCTTCACCTTTTATCGTGAGAGTCTGCCTTGTTTTTTGCTGTAGCCAGTATTTATTCACTTTAGTCAATCACCAAATGAATCCTGATATGAAGTAGATGTTAACAACTTCTTTGTATCATTATTTGGTATTGAAAAGAAAGAGAAAAAGAACTTTAAAAGTTTTACTTTGTGTACTTCATGTATTTATGTTTTTGTGTGTTGCTTATCTGCATCTTATTGTATTTGTGCTGACTTTTATCATCTTTTGTGGCTTTTCTCCCAGTCACAAATAAAGTGAAGGCTGGAGAGCAAAAACGGGATGGTGTATGCTAATGTGCACATGGGAAGGAGTGTGCTGACATGTCCCTTTGCACAAGGTTTGTCCCCTGGAATGGCCCCTTAGCCCAGGGGTCCCCAATGTGTTGCCTGTGGGTGCCATGATGCCCACTGGCAATCTTTCCTGGAGCCCACCAAGTATTTTTAGAAAGTGAGTGGGACTAGGGCAGTGGTGGCGAACCTATGGCACTCGGAGCCCTCTCTGTGGGCACACGTACCATCGCCCCAGCCAGGCCCAGACCATTGTTAAAGTGTCGAATTCTCTGCCAAATAATTTTAAGCAAATGAAAGCATTTGGGATTGCTTTCCTTACTTTGTTTGGATCATCTTAATGTATGAGTTGTTTTTTCTAACGTAAAACCTCAGTATTCAGGTTAAATTGCCATGTTAGCACTTTGCGATAAATAAGTGGGTTTTGCGTCGCAGTTTGGGCACTCGGTCTCTAAAAGATTCGCCATCACTGGACTAGGGGGTGCTTTTGCCCAGCAAGGTGTTCGATTGGCCATTGGAGATTTGATTGATCTTGCAGATTTTTTTTTAAAAGACCATTGCTTTGACAACAGCTGCCACTACAGCACAAGGATCTACACTGTGTTTCTGGAATTAAGCTTGTAGTCATCGTCTTGTGGCTGGTTCCACCTCTTGTGGCAGCCATTTTGTTGCTGCTCCCACCATGCCCTGTCAGAATTCCGAATGTGCCTGCGGGTTCAAAAAAGGTTGGGGACCCCTGACTTAGCCTGTTTTACTTTCAGCATCCAATTTCTGCTATTGGAGAAGCGATATCAGGGAACACACACTGTTTGGGGGGGGGGGTAAGTAATGGGTAGGCCAAGGAGTAGCCCTGTCTGCAGATCTCCTTTTGTTTCGAAACTGGACCCCCTACATACAAACACATTTGCCACAGCTACTGCTGTATGGATGATGGGGAAGAGTCATACTTAAGGAGAGATGTTATCTACTATCATACGCAGCTTGGTTTCTGTTAGCAGCATTCCTTTTGTAGTGTGGGCTCTTTTTGTTGCAGGAACTCCTTTGCATATTAGGCGACACACCCCTAATGTAGCCAATCCTCCAAGAGCTTACAGTAGCCCTTGTAAGAAGAGCTCTGTAAGCTCTTGGAGGATTGGCTACATTAGGGGTGTGTCGCCTAATATGCAAAGGAGTTCTGTTGGGAAACGGGGGTTTTCTCCTTCTTCCCTACAGCATCATGAGACTTTCATGCATCTCCTGGGTTTACCCTTCTTTCTTGTGGTCTTTACCAAACCTACATTGCTGTCATTTTGGGGAAAGTTTGCAGCAAAGTCATGGCAGCATCCCTTTGAACAGGAAAATCAGGACCTTCCTACCACCACCCACATTGGCACATTCTTTGTGCTTCAGTACCCCTTGGCACCCTTTCCCTCCGGCTGTCAGAGATCTTTCCCCCCCCCCCAAGTTGTTGTAGTCTTATAACATTACTCTATCAAGTTCTCTGAATTCCCAGCTTTCATTAAAAATTCTTTCCCCTTATATATCTGCAAGAAAAGGTGGTCAAGACTTACTTTTTTTTTTTTAAGCAAGCAAGCAAGCCGGGAATTCAGAGAACCTAATAGATTGTTAGAACATTAGAGCTTGCCAACTTTTAAAAAGCCTCAAGAAAAGGCCTCCAGTGGCATGGAAGGGGGGGGGGTGATATGGACGCCCTGTTGCTACTGCACAGTATTGGCAGCTGCAGCAGTAACCGGGAAACCACACAAGCCCATCCCCATGTGGAAAACGCCAAGGTCAGAGGGTGGTATTAACTGTACTGTTTTGCGGTAGCCGTTACCGACATGGCATTTCACTATTTGTCTCCTTCCTGTTCTTTTTTCTAGATGGCTTGTTATAGCAGTTGGTTTAGTAAGAGCATATCTTGCCACAGGTAGCTACCACAACCTTTACTATGCGGTAGAAAAACCGTTGAAGTTCTTCCAAACTGGAGCTTTGCTTGAGGTGGGTGGAGTTTTTAAAATGTCACAAAGATTTCTGCCTTTCTAAACACTAGTCCTCTATCATTGGCCTTTTATTTCAATCAATAATTGACTCTTGTCGTGTTGCATTAAATATCATCCGTACATATCACTGGATATTACACACAGTGGGTTATAGCAGTTGTTTGCAATTGGATTGCTCACACATGCTAGTCAACTTGTGAATGATTGCTACAGCACAACAATAGTACAATATCCTCTGCCACAGAAGAATATTCTGTCAGAAATGATGTATGAATCATGGTAACATTTGAAAAAATGTTAATGTTGCACAGTAAAATTAGGATTTTAAATTTAGTGCTTTTTTTGAAGTTCCATCTACAGAAATATCCCACCAGAACCATTCTTCCATGGTCCGATTTTAATCCTAGAAGTAAATTTAATAATATCTTGCATGAATGGTGAATGTTTAGAGCTAGAGAATCCTGCAAGTCAGATGCTGAACCAATGAGGAGCATATCCTTGTTTCAGTTGAACTACTGAGTCTGTGTTCCTTACTGGTTCAGAGGAGTTCACTGGGGCAAAATAGGACACAGGCTTAATGTCTCAAGTCTTTCATATCGGATCTCCCTGTTCCATCATTCACTTTTCTTGTTTTGGGGGGGGGGTTTGCAATAATTTGTGGAAGGTTTGTTCGGGGTCTGGGGACCATCCTAGGAAAAATTAAATTAATTGGTGATCTAACTGTGCAGTCATTAAAAGAGTTACTCCCTTTTAAGTGTACTGAAATCAGCAGTCTAAGATGAGATGAATGCTCTCTGTATAGGTGAGATAGTCACATGTGATAGAAATGACATGTAATAATGCCATGTCAGAGACCGTATTCCTAATAATAAAATACACTGCTATATTGAAGTGTTCTTGCTTGGAATTTTGGTTTTCCCTGATTTAAATGTTCTTTTTCTTCTAGATTTTGCACTGTGCAATAGGTAAGTTTTGGAATTCAGTGTTTGATGTCTTGGAGGAGGGGGATTCAACTAATCTCTTGAATTACAAAAATACCAAGCAGGGATCCCCAACCTTTTTGAACCTGCAGGCACCTTTGGAATTCTAGCAGAGGGTGGCGGGCACAAAATGGTTTCCACAAAATGGCTGCTGCAGGTGGAAGTGGCCACAAATGGCTGCCATAGTTTATTTTCAGTCACACCATGAAGATCCTTGTGTCGTGATGGCAGCGGTCCTCAAAGCAGCATTTCAAAAAATATGCACAGCCAATCAAATCACCAGTTGCCAGCCTGGAATCTCGCTGGGCAAAAGCATCACCTGGCCACAAACCCCTTACAGAAAATACGTGGTGGGCACCAGAAACTGTGTCAGCAGGTGGCATGGTGCCCACAGGCACCACGTTGGGGACCCCTGATATAAAGCATGTTATCAGTTCTTAGATTCACGCTGCTTGGTCACCTGTTTTTACGGATGACTTTTTCCTGGTTCCATAGACAAGGGCTCCTCCATTTCCCCATGCCATATCCATATTGCAAGTAGGTAATGTCTGCACTTAGCTTGAGGTGACACTACCCCTCAAACTGTTCCTTAATATTCAAGAAGGGATTGAGTCAGTGTGTTTCTTCCAAACCTTTTATTAATGAGAGTAAGCAAAGAAAGGTGGCTGATTATCTTTGTTAAAGTAGTTTGGGGGTGCAGTGAAGTCATTTTGAAACCCGGGGGGGGGGGAATTCCATTTTTCAAAACAACTTTTGGGGGAAATTGAAATACATGCGACATAGAAGTTCCTATCAAACTTAAACTACTTTTACTGATTGGACACCTACCTGGGTGCCGGTAGGCCGTCACTCCCCCAGATATAATGTGGCCCTAGATAGGTATTAAAGTTGTATGTAAACCGCTCAGAGACCCTTCGGGGTTGGAGCGGTATATAAACTGAAAGTAATAAATAATAAAATATGTCATTTGTAACTTTGCATATACAATTGTACTATTTGGCATATTTATAGAACTTAAAAGTATAAGGGTCTTTATCTTCTATAAGAAAAATACCCAATACTTTGGCATTTTTCCTGTACTCCTCTAAATTTCATCAAACTATATCTATCTATATATCTATCTATCTATATCTATCTATCTATCTATATCTATATCTATATATCTATAGATATATATATATTCTTTGTTCCTCCATATTTTCCAATCCGGCCATTAGAAAAGTAGAAAAGAAGACTTCAGGAAAAAAATTGGGGTTTTCCCAAATCTTTTCATTTATTTTTTTTTCTGGGCCTTCACATCCTTAGCTATGATTAACTAATCCAAGCGCAGCCACAAGACTCCAGAAGAGCCTTGTTGTCCCTTTTCTGCACTTTCTGGGTCATCCAGTAGTGGGTGGGTTGTTTTTGTGGTGACTCTTTGCTGGGGGAAAGTTAGCACCAGGATTCTTGGGAAAGGCACCCAAGGATTTGAAAAGTGGCAAGCAGCCGTTTGAACCTGCTGCACATGGCATTTTTATAGAGCTCCAAATTAGACTTGTTTCAAAAAGTTTCTTGTTCTCTACAGTCTCTACAGTCTTTATCTTCTGTCTTTCTAAAATATTCAACATAATTGGGAAGCTTATTCTTATTACAAAAATCTGGTTAGTTTTTGATAAATATGTTGAAAATTTGGTTATCAGATATCCAGTAGCACCGATTATTCTCCTGGGTGATATGAATGCAAGACTTGGTGCTAGCAATGCAGATTTTCTGAAATCTAGGTTTAGAGAGGGCTTGGCCTTCTCTAACCTGGGTAACAGTAGAATATCTCCAGATAGGGGCATCAGCATTGCTGGCACCTATTTGATGAACTTAACAACAAAATTTAACTTTGAAATTCTAAATGACCACCAGGACTTAATATCATCTGATCAGATAGCTAACTTTACTTATATCTCCAGCCAAGGAGCCAGTGTTTTAGACTATATTCTTGTAGCAGGTGACTTACTTCCAAGAATAGCTAAATTCACTGTGAAAGAAATATTTTGTAGTGATCGTCTCCCTGCAACATTTGAACTAAAAGTACGCTCCAATTCTTATCAAATTGTTAGGCCATTTTATCACAGGTATATCAAGTGGAACCCTGTATTGCTGATAAGACTAGGAAGCGGATGAATCAGGAAAGTACAAATGACATCAAAAGAAAAATTACCAATCACACAACAGGGCAAAACGTTGGTCAGTTACTGGCTACTTTATAGGGAATGTTTCAAACCTTATTTCAGAAACATGTTGCAACTGTAAGAAGAGTGGGAAAGATGGAATGGTATGATAGTGAAGGCTAAACCAGAACTCAAGAGGAACTATCAAAGAATGAAAACTTGACTGTACATCACATCTCAGGTTATATTTATCAGAAATGAGTTTATAGGAGGCTGTTGCAAGTGAAAAAGCAAAAGACACAGAAGACTGATGTGGCTAAAATTAGATAACTGTGCCCAATAAAAAACAAAACCCAATTGTTTTAGAAGCCCCATTATGATTTAAATAGGCAATAGAGAAATCTCGAAAGTGAAGAAGAAATCTCTCCAGAAATGTGGGGTGGACTGTTTTCTGTGTGAGAGTAGAGGTACTGAGGCCAGTGATAATCACTGAGTTGAAACATGGCTTAGCCTCAGTTAAAGAAATATAGGAAGAAGTTGAACCTGATGAGGTTCTTAGGCTGATTCATCGTCTAAAACCTGGCAAGGCTGCAGGTCCAGATGGCATCCCGTCTGAACTGTTCCTCTTAAGCCTTGTGTGATGAACTGACCTCCAAAAGCGGGATGCTTAGTGTATCAGAAGCAGAGAGCTGGGAGATTAGGAGTTAATAAGGTAAAGGTAAAGGTTCCCTTACTCAAAAGCCAGTTGAATCCGACTCTAGGGTTGCGGTGCTCATCTCCGTTTCAAAGCCGAAGAGCCAGCGCTGTCCAAAGACGTTTCCGTGGTCATGTGGCCGGCATGACTAAACACCAAGGTGCACGGAACGCTGTTACCTTCCCACTGAAGTGGTACCTATTTATCTATTTGCAATTTCTTGCTTTCGAACTGCTAGGTTGGCAGGAGCTGGGGCCAGAGACGGGAGCTCACTCCGTCATGCGGCACCCGGGTCTTGAATTGCTGAACTACCGACCTTCCACAGCCTGCAGTTCAACGTCTTAACCACTTGAGCCACCACAGCTCCTAATGTCTCACTGTAAATCCCAGTTTGATTGACAGGCTGCTGCCTGCATGCACCCCCTGCTCACTGATTGGTCAGCACCAGCTGAGGAGAGCTTTCAAAAGTCTTGTCAGTCTTGTCAGAGGGAGTCAGTCATCATTTGGACTTTGTCTTGGCAGTAGCCAGTCAGGAGGAGTGTGTATGTCGGTCTGAAGGGAACAGACAAGTCACTTGAGAAGTGAAGGGGCACAACTCCTTGCCCTTACTGTGTACCAACACAATTGAGGAAAAGTTCAAAAATCAGAACTTAAAAAGTCTGTCAGCCCTAGCTGGATTCGATTTATTCAGTTTCCAGAACGGGGGTTTAGGTTTGACAGAAGGAACTGGACAGGAGGTTGGAAACTGCCAGTGTAGCCCAACAGCAAAGGATTATCACTCCTAGAAAGAGGAGGATATTGCTTACCCAGTTGTTCAGGGGATTCAACTCAGAAAGGACCCCTGGTTTGTGTGAAAAGGGGAATAGTCTTAGACTCCTCAAGAGTGAAAAAGGGAAAGTTATAATCCCACAAGGCAAGTATAGAAAGAAAGTACTAACTTCCAGAAAGCTAAAATAGTTCTGTGAGACTTTACTAGGATGCACTGTTGCTGAAAAAAATCTCCGAGACAAACAAACCTCTCACAGTTTAGAACTTGGTATTTTATAATACAAGCTTCAATTATACTTTGTTTCCTGTTCGAGATATTATAATTTGTATAATCAACAACAGTTACCTCAGCTCCTTGTCCCTGGCCCTATTCCTGATTCAGCTGTGCCTGTTCAATAAAATCAACGTTTGGCAGGTCGAATGGTGATTGATTCTAATAGTAAAACCATCCCAAGGGTTTATACATTCCTGTGTCTCAATAACTGAACCACATACCAAACAAGAATGGCATTTAAAATGTCCCAATTTAGTTGGTCTGTCCTTATTCACAATGTTAGTATCTGTATGCAACCAAGAAATCTCATATGTTTTTTCTGCTATGGAAGCCAATTATCTAATCCATTTTAAAAAAAGAATTAAGGGCACACATCACATGGAAATGCTCCTGGGTAATTACATTCCTTTGTTGTCACCAAAATCACAGAATCATAGAGTTGAAAGGAAACTCCAGGGTTATCTAGTCCAATCCTCCGCACAATGCAGGAAATTCACAAATACCCCCCCACACCCCCAATGACCTCTGTTCCAGGCCCAGAAGCAGTGTTCTTTCTAAGCTGAGTTAGTGTGAGCTAGCTCACAGTTTTTTTAGCCTCTGGCTCACACATTTTTGTCCTTGCTCAGGAAGGATGGCTCCAGAGCAAACTAATTTATGCAGCGGCCAAATCACTTGCTCACAACTTTAATGCCAGTAGCTCACAAAGTAGAATTTTTGCTCACAGGACTCCATAGCTTAGAGAAAAAAAATCCAAAGAAGGAAAGCTCACCACCTCCTGAGGAAGCTTGTTTCACTGAGGAACTGTCAGGAAGTTCTTCCTCATGTTTAGCCAAAAACTCACTCGATTTAATTTCAACCCGTTGGTTCTGTTCCAACCTTCTGGGGCAACAGAAAACAACTCTGTACCATCCTCTATATGACAGCCAGTTTTATTAGAGGACCTTGGTCTAGTATTTTGACCAAAAAAAAATTAATTTCTGTTCATTCTCCATTTGCTCATCTGATTTTAAAAGTCTGTTTTTAACAGTATTTCTTTCTTAGCCGTTGTAGATAGTGCATCAATTTTAGTGTATCGAAACCTACTTGTCAGTAATGACATTGTCCATTAAATTGGGGGGAGGGGTTAATTTTAAATCAGACATGCAACTCTGGCCTTTCCCTTAGAACCTAATTCTGTTTTCCTCTTTTTATGTGTAATTTAAATTCTGTATCTTGAACCTTCCATCTAAGAAGTTTATGTTGTTTTGTCAGAAGCCTGTGAAATGGAGCCTCTGAACTTTTTAAATCATAAATCTCAAATTTTAAAATGTAATTGTTGAATTTTATGTGCTGTTTCATCACTACCCCAATATTCTATGTGGCCTTGTAAGCTGCCCTGCGCCTGCTCGCGGGGAGGCAGGATATAAATCAAAGAAAGAAAGAATAGCTGAAAACATTTGCTGTAGGAAGCCCTAATTAGCATTGCTGTGGGTTTGGTTGTGCTAACTTGTTTGTAGGGGTTGATTAAAAGTTCAGCACGATGTGTAGAAATCTCATTATTGCCTGGCAGGATCATAAATAAGAGCTATACTAGACTAGCGTTGATGTTAGGGATTTCTCTTGTTTTATACTCTACAAAGGCCCCAGTCACACGGCAAAGTTGCCGCGGGAGAGGCACGGATGGTGGGCTGATTATCCGGGCACGATCACACCCCAACATCTGGGAAGTGGAGCGCACCGGTGGCTTACCGCCGACAATGCACCTTTAAAAACTAGTACCTCCAAGGTACTAGTCAACGTTTGCCACGGGCTGCCTCCAGACGCCCGTGGTGTGATCGCGCCAGCTTGCAGCATTCCACTCCGGTCCCTCGTTTACCCGCCGGCGCCGAGGGAAGGACCCGTAATGTGCCACCGGCGCGTCTGATCGCGTAATCACGCATCAAACTGCGCTGGGGCAATTAGCCACACCTCCCCCCCGCGATATCCGGCCCGTGTGACCGGGGCCAAAGTTTTGAAGCCCTGGGCATTTAAGTAACTACCCAAGCAAGTGTTAGGCAAATTGTATTTTTAGTGACAATCATTGCTGCTGACATATTTAGGAAGAAAGTTAGGACAAACTTTAGGATTGTTTTTTTTAAAAAAAAAACTATATTGTAAAATTTGTCAGAAGACCGTCTCCATAGCACATAAGGTACAGCAGAACTTCTATGACTAAATTTACTAAATGCTTAAATGTCTTTCAGGGATTGTTCCCTCTTCCGTTGTCTTGACTGCTTTCCAGGTGATGTCAAGGGTTTTTCTGACATGGGCCATAACTCATAGTGTAAAAGAGGTAAGTGGAAAGAGAGAGAAATGTCTTTGAAGTTGTGCATAAATCCCATGTTCATTTTTGCTGGGTCCGCTGTCTGCAGCTTTTCTGTGGCATCAGATTTGACAACTCTTCCACACACCCCATGCACAGTAGCTTTGTAACTAGAAAAAACCCAGTGGGAATGGAAAGGGGTGAACAGGCTGTATAGAACCAGATAACCCATATAAGCTTATTCTTACCAGATAACGTCTGCTCTTCTCTGTGCCGTGGACTTGGAGCAGCCTTAAGGTGTTCACTTCTTTTCTGATACCCATTTTTCACATAGTCATTTAATGTCTCTGAAATGAAGTTTGTTGGACTTTCTGAAAGCAAGAGATCATATTTCCAGGTTCAGTGCTGAACTGGCCTGTTTTATACATGGCTAAAGTAGAAACTGTTTAAAAGCTTTTTCGTAAGCAATATTGATACATTTCTGTATCTGTCTCTTAGTTCTATTTGCTGTTGTACAAGTAGCAGGGTTGTAATTTCTGTTGGCTCGAAGGAAGTATAACATTGGTAGATAGTCTTTATTTTCCAAACCGGCAGTGTATTTGTGTCCAACTAGAATCTAATATTCTAGTAGCAGTAGTGTAATTTGTTGAACAATACTTTAAGCAACTTGGCAATAAAAATAGTACGAATTAACCATGCAGTGACAGTTACTAAAGGCCCAGTAATAATGTAGTTAGCAAGTATCTAAGCTTTCCTTTGTTTCAGGATAATTATCATATCTCAGTGCTATGAAATTGTCTTGCTTTCTTTTCTGAAAGGTTATCTGAACACTTGAACTCCCTGAGCAAGTTGAGCTGTTATGGATTTTGTAAGAAATTCTGTATAGATGCATGAATAGCGTGCTTGATCTTTTTGTTAATTCCTTCATGCTTTCCGAACTCTTTAAGGAGAAACTTAATATTGTGTTCTGCTTGTACAGATCTCTGATGGATCTTAATTAGCTGTATTACATTAATTCGTTAAAGTCTAACCAAGTGGTTACCTGTGTTGATATCTGAAATGTAAATTTTGCCCTTGACGCATTTTCTCTTGTGGGTTTCTGGTGTCTTAATTGTAAATGGAAATTGCATGAGATGGTTGAGTAATGTTCCAGTAATGCACTTGCTCTTTTATATGAGGTGATCGGAATGTTAGCTGTTTGCATGTCGTGGCCTTTCTGCTCCTTGATAGTGATACCTACTACTACAGTATCAGAGCAGTTCACTGGCCCTGCTGCCCTTGTATTTTTCAATAGGGGAGGGAAGAGTAGATGTGCCGTGTTGCAAATCAGGTTACTTAGAAAATATTGCCAAAGTAAATCCATATCCTGTGTGTTTGATTTGGTTCTCATCTAAATTAATAATGTACGTGTGTTATGTGCCATTAAGTTGCTTCCAACAACACTATTTATTAATGGACCTGCATTAACAGTCTTGCTTAGTGGTGTGAAAGTTCTTCTGTCCATGGGAATGCTAACAACCGATAATTCCTGACATGGCTTATTTTTAAAAGGAGCGAAATGTTGTCTTGGTTAGTAACAACTGTTTTGACCAGGCTGCTTTTTTGTTTGGCGATAATCCGAGCAGGAATACGCTTAGGTACGAAGGTCAGCAGAACTGCTGAGATGCCATAATGGCAGCTGGCCGATGTCTGTAATGAAATGTTGACTTTGGAAAGGCGAAACGCTGATCAGGAATATCCGCCTAGGCCAATATTCCTAGATATATTTGCAATATATATTTGCCTAGATTTTCGATCATTAGAGGTGAGCTCATTAGGAATCAGAATGGGATGGCTTCCTGAACTCCTGGGATGTGTCCAGACATTATCCTGGATGGGGGGGGGGGACAGGAAGTGCAACAGGAAGTACCTAATTAAAGAACTTCCTGTTATAAGGAGGGTTGGCATTCGTGTTCTTCTTTTGGCAACTCTGTCTCACATTCTGATGCTGCTAGTCCATACACTCTTGCAGTGACTGAAATGGAAGTCTCAAGCGTTTTGTGTACATTTGATGCTCTGCTTAAGCACTTCTATCGCTGACAAAACATTCTGGTTGAAAGGTTTCTCATGATGGATTGAAAGGCACCAGTTACAGAAATTCTGTCCCTGCTTCTATCACCATTTGCTTGATCTACTTAATATCCATATTGCAGTCATAGCCATCACATTGAAGGCAGGCCTCTTTTGAGGCTGTGTGGGAGTCGTGGGATGAATGTTTGTTTGAGGCCTCACTGCCTTCCTTATCAGTTCAGTTCAAAGTTTATTGCATGTAGCCAATGGCCATCACAATATAAAAGATAAAAAACAGTACAAAGATTGGCAATACATTTAAAAGGAAATTAAAATATATAGATGAAGTTTGAGTACAAGTTTTAAAATCAGGTTTCTCAAATAGCACATTCTGAAAGTACAGTCATTCCGTAGCCTTATCTCTAATTTCCTTGCAGCATGAGCATAGAGTGCCATTCTATAGGAGATAGTGGGATTGACATCTGAAAGCAAAAAGGCTACTATTTCAGTGCCTGGATTGTAAAGTTGTTAGGACTGGGTTAAGAAATTTGATTCTGGGAGAAAATTAAAATATATAGATGAAGTATGAGTATAAGTTTTAAAATCAGGTTTCTCAAACAGCACATTCTGAAAGTACAGTCATTCCATAGCCATATCTCTAATTTTCCTTGCAGCATGAGCATAGAGTGTTTGGTTGTCTGGTTTAAAGCTATCAGAATGCAAATCCCCGAATGCTTCTCATGAGAGGTTTTTGGTAGTTGGGTTTTTATGCCTTCAAGTCACAGCTGACTTATGGCGATCCAGTAGGGTTTTCGAGGCAAGAGACCTTCAGAGATGGTTTGCCATTGCTTGCCTCATGTCATGACCCTGGTATTCCTTGGAGGTCTCCCATCCAAATACTAGCTGGATCCAACCCTGCTAAGCTTCTGAGATCTAATGAGATTGGGCTAGCCCGGGTCGTCCAGGTAAGGGTAGACTACGGGAAATGACCACAATTAGGGGGGGAAAATCAACTACCTGAATGCTTCTCATGAGAGTTAACCATGTTTAATTTCTAAATGTTTTTCTCTGGGTGCCAGTACGGAGCCGGTTTTGTCAAGAAGACCTGTTTCAATCTTGGTCACTGTTAATTATTCCCTCCAACAATGTTCGTCTGGGATAGCCAACATATAGTCCCATGATCCTCACGTCATTTTTGAGATGTAAAATTGAGTAGCCAGATCATACGGATTATACAGACATCTGCCTGCATCTGTGCATCTGTAAGATCTTGATACTCCATGTTTACATTATCAGGTGAAGTGGCGAGAACAAGACACACAAAAGCAAATAAACTGATTCCATATAGTGTAATGTTGCAAAGCTCAATTCACGCTGCAGACTTCTGGGGTCTGCTTCCAAGATTATTCTTGCCTGTTCATCTGGCTTGTAGATTAAATTTGGAAAGATGAAGGCTAGGGCCTATTGCATTTTCCAGAATACCAAGAATAGCTGGCATTTCATAAAGAAGAAGAAGAGAAGAGGTTGGATCTATACCCCGCCCTTCACCACCCAAAGGTGTCTCAGAGCGGCTCACAAACTCCTTTCCCTTCCCCTCCCCACAACAGACACCCTGTGAGGTAGGTGGGGCTGAGAGAGCTCTTGACAGAAACTGCTCTTTTTCAAGGACAGCTCTTATCAGAACTACGGCCTGCCCAAGGTCATCCAGCCAGGTGCAAGTGGAGGAGTGGGGAATCAAACCCGGTTCTCCCAGATTAGAGTCCGTGCACTTAACCATTATACTAAACTGGCTCTCAAATGCAAAGCTCTCAAATGCAAACTGGCTCTCAAGTGCAAGTACAGCTGAACTGCTATGGGTAGTGCGGTAACACAGAGGTCTACCAGCCACAAGCTATCGATTTCCAGACAGACCTAAATACTGAACAACCAGGTGAACACTTCAGGTGGGCTGAGAGTTGTAGATGATTTGTCAACAATATGAAATAGACTAATTTAGAGCTCCAGTTAAATTCCAGGACTCTTCTACTCACAACGAATAAATACATTTGTATATTACCCCCAACATACAGACAAGACACAGTTTTTTAAAAAAATTACTAATACATCAACAATTCCACCAGAGTTTGAAACATTAGAAAAGCTTGCCACTGACTTGGTTCCGGTGACCACATCCGAATCTCAGCTTATCTCCTTAGTAGAAGGAAATAACTGAATATGTAGAACAGTAGTTTTTATGCGAACAATAGGTTTCACTAAGTTACCATGAAATATGTTTCTCACAAAATGTGATGGCTGATACGGCAGTGCAAAGCTACTGCTTAAAAACAAATGGACTATTAAAAATCAAAACTATCTATCCACTCTCTATCAATCTACACACCTCATTTCACAGGCATAAATCAGGAGACCAAATGTGATTCAGCATCAGAATCTTCATCAGTGGTCAGCCTAGTATTAATAATGACAACTTTGTGCTTTCTATCAAGTTTTTTTTAAATACCAACAGTAATGGACAATGAAGCAGCAGCAGCAGTAGTGGAAAAAGTAGGAGGGCCTATTATTTTCAGTAAGAATTCAGACGCACGTTCTTGAAGTCTGGATTTTTTTAAGTATTAATTTTATTTGCGTAGCAGGTCACTGGAGTTTGCATTTGTGCTTTAAAAAGCGATACAGGGCAAGAGTTAGAAGCCATAGTAATGTAACCGTCTTGCAATTTAATGCCAGTTTATCTTTGTGGTTGGGCATTCATATGCATTGCAGCCTAGTTTTGTCCACTGGCAAACGTAGATATTCCTATGCCAGCTTTGCATTTGAAGAGCAAGTGTGAGAGTTTAGTCTTGGTTTGAGTTAGTTATGTGGACAAGCAACATATGTTCATCTTTGTGGCAAGCCAGCTGTGGAAAAGATTTCCAAGCTTTCTAGTCGACTAGGAGCCTCCCTCCTCCCGCTGGCATCTTCCTGCCAAAACAATCACATGACTG